CACCAAGACACATTACAGTCAAATGGACAAAAGCCAAAAACAAAGTCTTGAAACCAGCAAGTGGCCCACTCAGTATGTACAAGGGATCGTTAATAAGGTTATCAGCTGATTTCTCATCAGAAACTATGGAAACCAGAGGGCAGTGGGTGACATATTTCAAGAGCTGAAAGAAAAAAACCCTGACAGTCAAGAATTCCATGTCTGGCAAAACTATCATTCCAGAATGAAATAGAAATGAAGACACTCCCAGATAAACAAAAGCCAAAGCCAGTGGAGTATGTTACTCATAGACCTGCCCTATGAAATGCTAAAGGAAGTCCTCCAGGCTGAAATGAAATGGCATTAGACAGTAGCTCAAAGCCATATGAGGAAATAAAGAACACTGGATAAGTGTTTACTACATAGGTAAATATAAATACCAGTATGCCTTAGTCTGCTCAGGCTGCTATAACAAAATACCATAGACTGAGTGGCTTAAACTAGAGACATTTATTTCTCACATTTCTGGAGGCAGCCAGCATCTTGCTGCGTGTTCACATGACTTTTCTGTGCACGCAGGAAAAGAGAGAGACAGGGAGAGAGGGAGGGAGAGCAGGCAGTGGGTAATGCTTCAACATATAAATTTGGGGGGATACAATTCAGTCCATAGCACTGTTTTATAGTACTTTTGTCTTGTAATTCTTTTTCTTTCTATATGATTTAAAAAGCACATGCAAAAAGCAATAATTATAAATCTATGTTAATGGGCACATGATGTAGAAGGGTGTGATCTATGACCAACAATAAGAAGGAGGAGAGGTGGAAATGTACAGGAGCACAGTGTTTTGATGTCATTGAAATTATGTTGGTATTTATTCAACCTAAGCTCAAGTTCATCTCAGAGTGGCTCCAGTGGGTCCCCAAACCCATCCTGTTATGATTTCCCCAGTTCCAGAATGCATAGCTGGAATAGACATACTCAGCAACTGGCACAATCCTCACATTAGTTCCCGGACATGCAGAATAAGGACTGTTATGATGGAAAAGGCCAAGTGGAAGCCACTAGAACTGCCTATACCTAGAAAACTAGTAGATCAAAAGCAATCCCACATTCCTGGAAAGATTGCAGAAATCAGCACCATC